GAAGCTGACTCAGCAGTGGAAAGGGCTAGATAATTGCAGAGGTGCTGCTTGTCCCTTTCTTTTTCAGTCAGCCTTGCTCCGATGCAATGAGCGGTACTCCTTTCTTTCTCTGTCACAGAGCCAGGATACAAGTAATGAATTCCAGGAAAAATATGTGATCTGAAATGAGCAGTGGTGAGAGGTAGTGCACCATGGAATGGAGTTTCACAATGGTGAATTTAAAAAAGAGAGATCAAAAGTTATCTGCCTTTTTATTTCATATTACTGAGAATCTCTGCTAAGTTTATATTCATTAAAAAGAAAACACCCTACTTAAATAAATCAATTAAAATGGAGTTAGGAAGTAAGAACTCAAAGAAAATGACTGTAATAAAGATATTTTTCTTCCTAGGAAATAAAAAAATATAAAATTCAAAATACTACACTACTATCTATTAGGAAGACAACCTAAACTATCTATGGCCTGATATTTGTCAGTCACTGGAAAGCACTCAAAAGACACTAGCAATTTTCCCTTGCAGAACTGTGATATACCACACAGCCTACACTAAGTGACAAGCTACCTAAATGACAAGCTTTTCATGGTGCCAGAGAAACAAAATTCAGCAAAAGTCCATTTCTTTGTTAGTTTTAAGAAGAAAAGCAATAGATGAAAACAATATCCCTAATATGACAAATGATGAAAGAGCAGTTCTGTGGAAGAGGCAGTTTAACAAAACCCGTGAACTCAGGAGGCTCCTCTAGAGTGCGGAGGGCAGGGACAGCAACAGGACTGTATGCACCAGCTGCTGAATAAAATCCAGATGTGCTGTCAGTGCCAGAAACTAAGTCTCAGCTGCAGGGAGTTATATCAGATCCGAATATAACTCCCCATGTCTGGAAAGGTCTGAAATAATGATGTGAGCTATAAGGAACACTTGAAAACTATAGAAGAAGCTATGTAAAACTCCTTTGGTGCTTGTACTAGAGGATATACCAAAAACTCAACCAGTACTACCAAGGACACAATGTGAAGAATTACCAAATAGTAACGAGTCATGAGTCCCCGCAGTAGAAATGGCCTCACCATAGCACCTGTGGCCGAATATTATTTACCGCACTTCAGTCCAGATTCTTACCCTGGCTGAATTTTGTATTATGACAAATGGATACCAAATCAAAAGTTACTGTCTTCTATACCAGGAGTATGTCAGAGTCAGTTACATTGAAAACGTCTGCTTTATGTGTATAGCTTGGTGTATACCAGTTTGCAGAATCAGGCCTTCCATTTGCAGATAGGCACTTTCCTTTCCATTGTAGAGTTAACACTGTGAATGGTAGCACTGCTATGGCTCCAAAAAAAGAACTGTAAATGTGACTGCTATAATCAGGGGGGGTTTGTGTTGGGGTTTTTATTTCTGGAAAGAGGAATACCCAAATTATCTGAATCATGGCTACTGAAACAAATTGCAGCATTGTATGTATATGAAATAAATATTTTTAAAAGCTCAAAAGCAACAAAAGCTATAAACAGTGTGAAACTAAAGACTAAAATGTTCAAGCTATTTGAAGAAAGTTGCTGGCAGGCTTGTAGGTGGTCTACACAAGACTCCCACACTCCCATCTTTTCAGACATGCTTTTGTGCTTGATTAATTAGACAAACTAGGGAGAGGTGATACTTTTGCAGTGACTGATGTTTTCTTATAATTAAATCAATCTGGTATTTATCTCACATAAAGCATTAGGTCATGAAATGTTCACAAAACGCCAACCTAAGTGTCATCTGGAAAATTACAAATTTAATATTTAGATGGATGTCTTTGGTAAAAATAAAAAGTGGGCTCTTTAATTTCATAGAAATATAGTATCATAAATTTAGTCTGAGCATCATATATTAAAATAATGCTATGCAAATACGCATGAAAGTTAAATAAGGTATTAGAATAAGACTGTTTAAATGAATAAGTAATATTTTAAAATGTCAGTCAACACACCATGCAAAAAGAAAGCTCAATTTAATTAGGTTGGTCATTCGTGGCTTAGGTAGGAAAAGGATTAGCATGTATAGTAAGTTAAGGTTGCCCAAAGCTTTGTGTGGGTTTTACACAGGTATTCACTTTAATCTCAATAAAAGAATTAGTGTAACAAATGCTGGCTTACATGGTGCTTTGCTGCTTGTGGCACAAGGGAGCTTCTCAAGAAACTTGCTGCGTGGCACGTAAAGGTCAGGCACAATTCACAGAGAATTAGAAAAAAAAAGATCTTAAAAAAGATGGCTTTGCTGACAAATCTGTAGCATGGGCACAGACAAGCTTTTTTATAGTTTGCTTACGTCAACTTTATTTTGATTAATTTATTTCCTATAAAAGGAAAATAATTGTAGTACCAGCAGAGAAGATGTCTATCGGCAATCACTGGCATAGTCCAGTGGGATTGCAGAGGAAAGATAGAGGGTTTGGGGTAATATACTAACTTACATGATTTTTTTTTAATGTGCACAAAAGTCAAGCGACTGACAGTAATGTTTGCAGCCTGACATAACTTGCCTACTGTAGACTGCAATGCATTGAAGAAAGCAGAGTAGATACAACGCACTTGTTGGAAGGACCACACTTTTGCCTAGCATTAATGCAGAGAGGTCTCTACACAGTACTGAAAAATAAATGGGGCTTAGTACATATTTCAAGCTTCCCCAGCTGGAATTTTTTTGTGTCTCTCTGGAAGATAGACCAGACAGTGGAAGAAAAGAGGTCACAAGGGCCAGGCACATGCCAAATCTGCACCTAATCTTCATAACCACAGGACTGAGGTAGATGGTACGTATTTATAAAACAAACTTAGTGTTGCATAGCACATTCGCAGTAATAAGTATGCCCATATTGCAAATATTGCACTTTGGAAGTCCTGAGGACTGCCAGCCCAAACTGCTGGAACAGCACGCTCACTGTTCTCAACTACTGTGCTCCGCTCGAATTCAAGAGGAAAAGAATAATAACAGGTTTTCTTTGTTTTGGGGAGAAAGTAACAAGAACCTTAAGTGCAAATTATTTTCATAGACAAGCATTATTTAAAAACTAAAACAGACAAAAATTATCATTTGATACTCTCTAAAAGATATTTCCCTTTTCTCTTTTGTACTTTTATGCTGAAGTACCTTCTCAAATCTTCTGAAAGCTGGGATTTTTTGAATCAATCTTGAAAATCGCAGATGTTTTCACTACAAGTTTCCAGCTACTTTCTTTTCATATCTACTGTAAAATATGCTAATAGAAACAAGAAGCAGCTGCACTCTGCTCATTCAATGGAAATTATCAGCTTGTGTATATTTATTGTGTTATTGACCCTGTATTTGCCAAAAGAATGTAGGTCCATGTACATTCCAGACAATATCAGATACAAAAAGTGTATTTAGAAATATGCCATACTGGAACTTCTTATAATAGGGTTTTTATCGTGGAGTTATGAGGAATTATCGGGAGACAATAAAGAGATTTTTTTTTTTAAGTCTCCAGAATGAAGAACAATATTTAGCAGATTGTGTAAAGACTGAAAAGTTTGGAAATTTATTTAAGTCTACTTAATACAAGGAACATAACAATTCCAAACCAAATGGCACAGGTGTGAAAGTCATCATTTCCAGAAGTGGGCATGCCGAAGGAAGCCACTGAGTCTAGGAAAGGACACATGTTGTGTGCTGTCAATGCAACACACAAGGTTCAAACTCCTCCAGTGATAACAGCAATGTCTTTCAGCAGCACTAACTGCTTGTATTCAAGCTGAATACAACGTTGTCTGTGTTTTTATCCATCCTGAATATTATACCATTGGAAATGTACATTAATGGCAACTTCTCTTGTATCTTGATTTATATGTGATTCAAGCCTATACTAATCACCAATATGCAAATGCAACTTTTGGGAGAAAACAAATCCCCTTAGATGTGTTCATTTGCAACACCACAAAATGCAACACTTCCAAGCCTCTGAAATCAATCAGAGATAGTCAGGTAATTCAGGAATAGCACACAGAGCTTGAGGGGGTTTGTTGTTGTAGCTTTTTGAATTAGATGTGTGTAAGCACTGCTACAGTTTATTCTTTCCAATAAGAATATAGGAGCTGGGTTTTTAAAGGATCTCACTGTGCTATTATGTGTAAAGACATTGAAGCACTGGGCTACATCAAGAACATGAAACTGAAATTAACCACTTTAAACCACAGTGAAAGACAAATTTAAACACTTAAACATGTGCCAAATATGAAAGCCCCCCCCCCCGCCATGGCATGGTAAGGCTCAGTCTCCTGCAAAACCTAAGCCTCTCGCATAACAAACCTGGTTGACAAACACTGATTTATGAGAGGAAGGACTCTCATTCCCCAGTAGCACAACTAGTGGAATTCAGCAGCACTTAGACAAAAAACCCTCCACAACATTACACTACTGCACATTCAAGTCAAACAACACTCTCCCATTTTAGGATGCAAACCAAGCTTGACAGATCTCCTACTAACTTTCTGTCCCGGCACAATAACTTTCCCTTGACTTTACATGCAGCAGCTAAACTGGAGAGATTAATATTCTCAACTGCACAGCCACTTAATCCCTCCTTGTCTCATTCCATAACGGTCACAATCAAGACCTGAATTCAGGTCTTTCTGTGGCCTTAACAACTGCTCCAAGCTTTGTATAAGCATCTGTAATTCCAGCTCTTTAGCACACATGCAGTTGTATACATTGTGGATTCTACCAGGTTAATCATTAGTACTTAAAATATAAAGCTAAGAATGTCTTTACAGGATTGGAGCTCTAGTCTGCAATGTGTTCCTTGTGTGTGCAGCAAATAATGAAGATAAGTGAGTGAAATGTTCACAAACCTTTGAATTACTCGGTTATAAACAGCAAGGAAAATTTAAGAAGAAATACATATATACATAGCCACATGTATGCAAATAAATAAAAGTAGATATATCATTTCCATATACTCCAAAACCTTGAAACAAACAAACAAACAAAAAAGCTTACCCTTGCCAACGTCAGTGTTCCTTGTTTACACACACTGCAGCGGACCCTCAGTTTCCCAGGTTTCACAGCTTGGCAGAAATTTTTGCAAAAAACATAAAAACTGTTGTAACTAGCTGCACCTGTCAGGAAGAAAAAAAACAACAAACAAAAACATTTGACGTATACTGAAAATCAGTAACAAACTGTAATGAAAGGCTTCTATTTGACTTTATAAGTGATAAGTAAAAAAAAAAGGTCTTATCTTGCCTGGCCTAGTTCTTAATACTTTTCAGTAACTCCTGCTTCTTGATCAATAGATATAGGTGAATTACACCATAACTCCTAGAAAATGCATCCTGTCTTGAGTTTGAGCTTACCACTGATGAGCACCAACTGTAATCTTTGGCAAGCGATGTATGAGATTAATTACCCCAGCTCTCCATAATTTGCATCTTACTCCTAGTCTAAATTTGTCTAGCTGCAAGTTTTAATGAGTTCAAATTGCATGAATATTTCCTTGGATGAAGTTTAAAATATTAGTTTGACTGATATCACAGCAAGAAAACAAATATTTAATTTAGCAAATTTAGTTTTATTCATGGAAGACTGGAAACTATTTCTTTATTCTTGCTGGCAGCGGTATAACCTAGCAAAGTTTGTGAACTGCTGCCAAGATATTAGGCCAAGTAAATTTTCAAGGAAAATGAAATGAAATGCATTCTGTTCTGTGAAACTATGGAACAGAAGATGATATGCAGAGAATTGTATAAGCCTGGGGCAATGCTGATTAATTTGATTTCACATGCAATCCTGATCACTGTTTTGAGTAAATCCCTTTTTAGGATGGCTGTTGCTATTCCTTAGAAAGTGATGGAAGATTCATAGCGTGGTTTTAATCTAGACTAGACATCTCCAAGTTCAGAGACTCAAGCTTATTATCAGATGTTGAACTGAGACCAGAATAAACTTTTTAATAGATTTTTCCCAATATCAAGAGGAATGGTTGTGGAGATTTGACCCATTAACAGTGGTGAACTTCAGAATCAACAGCAGTCCAACCTTAGAGATCAAAAGTTTTTCAGTCTTCTTCCCCATTCTCCTACTTCTCCCTACATTTATCAGCAATATATTTTTTCTGTATATTTGGATCCTAACATGTTACCACAGTAAATATGATAGAATCATAGTATCATAGAATCATTTAGGTCAGAAAAGACCTTTAAGATCATCAAGTCCAACCGTTAACCTAGCACTGCCAAGTCCACCACTAAACCATGTCCCTAAGCACCACTTCTACATGTCTTTTAAATACCTCCAGGGATGGTGGCATAACCACTGCCCGGGGCAGCCTGTTCCAATGCTTGACAACCCTTGCAGTGAAAAAATTTTTCCTAATATCCAATCTAAACCTCCCCTGGCACAACTTGAGGCCATTTCCTCTTGTCCTATTGCTTGTTACTTGGGAGCAGAGACCGACACCCACCTCGCTACAACCTCCTTTCAGGTAGTTGTAGAGAGCGAT